ATAGTGGCAGTATAGTTAATATTATATAAAATATCCATAAAGTGTGCAAATGCTCGCTTGTTTTATACCTTAAAATTGAAGGTACTGTTTATAAAAAATGTATTCACCTTAATCATTTTTATTCATTTATCATAAATGTGTGTTTGTTGTTGTCATGCCTTAGGCCGCACCTGGATACTACATGGCCAAAAAAATCATCAAACTCATCAATTACGTAGGTCACGTGGTCAATAACGACCCGGTGATCGGAGATCGTCTAAAGGTATTGTACTTGGAAAACTATCGAGTGACTTTTGCTGAAAAAATCATACCGGCTGCAGAYCTCAGTGAGCAGATATCTACTGCGGGGACCGAAGCATCTGGTACCGGAAACATGAAATTTATGGTAAAGTACATTTTGATATTATAATGAGTCGTTATACCTTATACCTCAATCGATTATTAATGACGTTTTGTTTGTGAGTATAGCATACGCTGTATATGACAAAATAGAATCCAATTTATGAATAATATTTGGTTGCAATATTATAATTTTTTGAGAAGCTTAAAAGTCATTTGGTAATTCTAAACCTCCGTTAGATATCCTCCATCGTTACCAATATCCACGCGTTGTATACACAGCTATCAAACGCGTGTTAAAGCAATATTTGTCTTAAATCTGAATAACGATAAAATTATTTGTTTCCAGTTAAACGGTGCACTTACAATCGGTACGTTAGACGGTGCAAATGTGGAAATGGCCGAAGAGATGGGATCCGAAAACATTTTCATTTTCGGAATGAACGTCGACGAAGTGGAACTTTTGAAGAGAAAAGGCTACAATGCATACACATACTACGAATCCATACCGGAACTCAAACAGTGCGTAGACCAAATTCAGAACGGATATTTCAGCCCCAACAACCCTGACGAGTTTAAGGACATCGTAGACGTTCTGCTGAAATGGGATAGGTATGTGGTTAAGATATTTCATTACCTACCAAAAATCACGACAAAAAATAACTATATTATTATCGTTTTATGTTGCATATAGATTTTTCCTGTTGGCCGACTATCAGGATTACATTAAAGCTCAGGATAAGGTCAACGAGACTTACATGGTATGTAAAGAAACCATTATGATCATTATTATGACAGAACACTTATTACCTAACTCTTAAAAAGAAAAAAAACAGAATATGTGCGAGCATTATGCGTATTTTTAAATCCTAGAAATAATATGCATTAAAAAAAAAAATTTATTTACTTAGGAAATACCTGTCTAAGCTATTATGTACCTATAATACAATTATTTTGTGTATTCTTTAAATATTGATAGGTGCCTACAACAACTAATTAAATTTACATATAATATATACTCGTCTAGAATAAATTAATCTTCAAAACACTAAAAAGTACGAAATTTTTTTTTATTGCCCAACTAAAAATATAGGTGCGTCTAGGTGCATTAAAAACCATTTTTGTGCTTTTCACTGTATGTATAATAACCAAATTGTAATGTATGTCCTTATTCAAGGACGGAAGGAGTAGCCTCTCCCTCTGATATACTTATGCCATAGCAATGTACACGTACAGAATTTTCGGAGGGTTTAATAATTTGAGTATTGAAGTGTTCAACCTCTATCTCATGTCGACCAGTCGACTCTAGTCCTGCGAGTAAGGTTTGCTCGTAAAACTATTTTTTACTGTCATCTTATATCTATATATATATATTCATGCGTAAATAACCGTTTCTGTAACAGTATAGGTATACCTATTACCATTTACCATTGATCAGAAATGCTAGTATTTGTAATTAATTATATTACCTATTTACCTCGCTGTATACGTTCCGAGCCCAAAATTTTAGTAACTTATTGTAAATTGTTTTAAACCATTTTTTCTCGATCTGTTACCTTATAGGATCAGACCAAATGGACACGCATGTGCATCCGAAACATCGCGTCCTCAGGAAAATTCTCGTCCGACCGCACAATCACCGAGTACTCCAGAGAAATTTGGGGCGTCGAACCATCATGGGAGAAATTGCCGGCTCCGCATGAACGTATCGCAGATCTCCCGAAGCAGTCWTAATAATATACATGCAACAACATAGATGATGCTTAATATATAATATAATATGTTTATGATAGGTACGTGCACAAGCATGCACGGTTTTTTTTATTTTGGGAATTTTTCTGTTTAACGAACAAGCAAAAAAAAAAAACCTAATAATTAATATGTTTTTTGAAAAAATGTGTTCCTCACTTTCATGATAATTTATTTATTTGAATATTTTAATAGGTACTTATTATGTAATTTTTAACACGTAAATAGTATTGAATTATATTCATGGTTGGTCACCTTAATATTATGTTCACATATACCTTCCTGATTATATTATATTCACTTCGTGTGTGTGAATTATTTTAATTTAAATGAATTATATTTATCGATTACTTTTTACGCTATGGATTCTTAAATATTAAATACCTATACATCATATATACGACGTTTTAATTTTTAATCGCTAGGGTTCCTATCTAGATTCTAGACTATAGAGTCTATACAGCTATTATTTTATTTTTTGAAAATGCGTTCTGAAACCTTTWAAAAAAAAAAGATTATAGTTAGTATTGAATCTAAATGTCTATAAGGTTCTAAATGCCCAAATGAATCCATTTGACGTACTTACGTGGATCTACTTGTCACGAGATCTAGGTGTTACGTACCCCCCTCCCCAAATTAAAAGTAGGTAACTTATATTAGTACATCTATAGAATAAATTAAATAGACTGTAACCGTAATAYGTACCAATATATATTAAAAACAAAGATAGGTAGGTAGAATAAGAATAATAAACTGATAGTTGTAGCGATTACCTATGCATATTATATATTAATGCAATTTAAATATTCTATTGGACTAATAAATTTATCCAAAATTTTGAGTCTTCGTTAGCAATCCGCATCATCCTAATATACCTACAATTATACATGGGTATGGTTATATAATGGTGCATACAGCATACAGGGATAAGGAWATTAATGATCTGCATGATTCGTTTAATTCTGTTATGTTTAATTTTAGAGTGAATTGACCTAATACCAAATTAATATGACATTAGGACATGATACCCGTATGTCACCGTCTTACAAGTGCTAACATGGTAAATTTTACGCTCAGCAGAACACGCGTAGCTCCGTTAGTTTAAAATTTAGACTGGAGAGTGAATTAACCTCTAATAAAATTTAAAKCTTACATTAGCATCTATAGGGTTTCTAATAGACGTTTTATTATATTTTAATTTTAAAGCGAGTTATCGACTGTTTTGAGTATTTTAAAATTGTAAATTGTGTATCTTAAAATACTCATCTCACTTTAAAATTAAAATATAATAATAAGCCAAAAGCCCTTGAAAATAATCTTACCTTTAAATTTTATAAGAGGTCATTTCACTCTYACTCTAAATTGTAAGCTAACAGAGTTTTGTAGCTTGTGTGTACTGCTGAGCGTAAAAATTGCTATTTTACGTGCTTGTAAAACGGCGATAGCAACTGCAGGTATAATGYCCTCCAAACTATTAAAATCATWAAAAAAAAGTATGTATTAAATATCTAACGGTTTTGTAAACAAAAAATAAAATATTAACCATTATCATTGTGAAGTAATTTAATAAAAATCAATTTTAATCAAGCTTACGAGATTGAGAGAAGAACATTTTTAAGAAATGTTGCGTACCTAATTGTAAAACGGAGACAACATATGCAGATATCACGTCCTCTGAAGAAGTAAGAATATTATCTATTGGATGACAGGTTTTTATTTAATTTTAGTTAGTTAGGGGTGACTGTTATGAGTATTTCAGAATTGTAAAATGTGTGTATATTTTAAAATTAAAATATAAACAAAAGCCTAAAAATTCACTAAATAATAATCTTAGTTCTAGATTCGATAATAGATCAATTCACTCTAAAATTAAACATAACAGAGTTTGATGAATTATTCAAAACATACACTTTGGTGTATTGTGTGTTTGTAAAATGAAGAGAACACAAGTGAGCAAGGCTCTTAATCATAAATGAAGAAAGTAAATGCAATATAGTTCACTTGTATTTAATAATTCATCAGATTAAATTATATTTTATACTATACAAATGTCAGTCTTTAAAATGAAATCATTGAGATTATAATCCATACTATTATTAASACCTTAAATAGAGTAAAATTTATTTTGTTTTTAACAAATTAAACAAAATATTAAACAAGTAGAAAACTTAATCGTTACACACATTAATTTTTTATTTTATTCACTTTTATAAGTCATATCATAGAAATTTAGCCATATACTTGTAATCACTAATATTGTATTAAATCTAATGAAATCAAAGAACATAACTCTTATAAAACATTTTTTAAAGAAAAATTGGATTTTTTATTTTTAGTATGAGAATAATGAATTTTAGAATAATTTGAAAGCTGTACCATATTAACATCATTAACCTCTTCAGTATTTACAATCATATTTATATTTGCTGTATTATACGGTATCAAACTAGAAAATAATGCTGGCAATCTTAAAATAGCCACAAGACGTTTATGTAATTTCTTAGATTCTTCATCATCCCAATCAAAATGCATATTGGAATCTTTAAAGTAATCAATTTTCATACTTGAATTTAGAGCATTTGTATATGTATACAACATTTTAAATGTCTCATGATTTGGTGGTACAGAACCAATGAAGTTTAATGGTAATAGTGGATCTTTTTTATTTTTCATAGAATTCTCAGTATTGATACCTTCATTTGGTTGTTTCTTTTGAATATTTCTTATTCTTATATCTACCAAGCCTTCTATTTCACTTATATCGGAATTAGTAATATCACTTGTTCTTAAAACATTGTGAACTCCTTCATAGGTCAATAATGGGTCGCACAAATTATGTTCATTACTTGAATCTAATGTAATTAGYTCAATGGAACACTCTGATATATAAGTCATCATACTCATAAGTCCATTATCAATCAAATCATCCATATGAGCAAAAGTTTCAGGTACAACCAACTTAGCTCCTAAGTAATCWAGTACATGTCTGTAGAGATCACATTTACTTGACAAATTACAATTCGCAATAACAAACTTATTTTCCAAATATGATTTCTTCAACTTACGATCAGCATCTGTTTCTATCGGTACATTAGATGTTTTAAGCAATTGGCGATTGTGTTTAAATTTTTCATGTAAACCTCTTTCATTTAAATCATCTTCTGGAAAAAACTGTATTTGTTTAGGTTTGAAAGGTCGTGATGGGCGTGGAATGTTGTCAATGGTCAATTTTGGATTATGTCTTAATTTTTTATCAATTAAATTGAACCTATGGCGGCATTGTTCTGCATTACGTCCGGGTACYTGTTGAGATACTTGTTTCCAAGTAAATTCATTAGGTGTATGTGAATTAACAGCATTTAGTAACATTTTATCTTCGTCAACTGTCCAACCACCCCTATAAATATCTTCATCATATAGCACAATTCTACGATAAGCATTACGAACTTGTGCAGGTGTACGATTAGTCAGATTCATTGATACTATAGATGGGGGTATATTTTTGATTTTAGAATTTTTAATAATATATTTTTCTCCATCACTTAAAAATCCTTTCTTAATGCCTGGTTTTAAACTATGCATCCATCTGTTAACACAAAATTAAATGAAAAATGARTAAAATTATACACACAAGCTTGTTCATAAATATCTACAAATTTGTACTAATTATTCAATCTCTCTGAAAGAGACGAAACAATATTTTTATTTAAAATGTTAAATGCTCATCAAAAATTCACAAGTATATGTAGCCAATAGGGAACATTAAACTGAGATTTTTTTTTAGATTGTTAATATTGATCTAAATAAATGTGGAATTAAAAATAAAAATAAAATCAATAGGATACTCTCATAAAATGTAGAATCAAATAACTTATCAACTAGTTTTGAGAAAAGTATTTTAGAAATTCAACTGTAATTGATTTAAGTCTAATAATTTATTTCATTATGAAAAATCTTAGWAAATACTAAATTGATAAAATATAAAGTGTTAAAATTAACATACCTTGCATAAATTTGATCAACAGATCTTCCATAGTCTTGCATAGCAAAATACACTCTTTGCCAATTGATTATAGTATCTATGGAATTTTCTTTAATTACCTCTATAAGCTTCTGATCTTCTTGTTTTGACCATTTACCTTTTTTGTGAATCATTTTCTTATATTTTTGATAATGAACAAAACATTGTAACTCATTCCGGTTAGTATCCATTTCATCAGTTATTTTTTGCCAATTTCTTTCATCATTTTTTGCAACAATTCTAAGTAAAAGATCATCTTCATTTTTAGTCCATTTAGCTCTTGATATATGAGGTTTTAAAATTAAATTCCAAAACCTTTGACATTGTAAATCAGGTTTATCAACTACTTTTGCAATGTGTAACCAATCATACTTYGAGTCTGAGTCCATAAACTGAAAGACTAACTGCTTAAATGGGGTTTTTGTTATAATATCCATTTCTTTTTCTAGATCTTTCATTTCAATTTCAATTTTATGTTTTATATTTAGATCACTTTGTTTATCTCTATCTACACCAAGACGTAAATGCTGTTCTAGCATAGGAATTTTTATTTTATTTAATATTTCAGCATGAATTGCTTTTTCTAATTTATTTTTAAACTCTTGATTCCATTGATTTCTTTCAACACATTCTTCAAGTATAAAACGACCATTGCAAGACAATATTAATCTACCACTTTCATATAACTCACTTAAATGAGGATTCCGTGGGCAGTTTGATAAACCAATTTTAAAAAAATTCGCCAAATGTGCTTTTATTTTTAACTGTTTCATTGTAATCTTAGACATGGCCTTTTTTTCAAACTTAGTACAATTAAAAGCCTTGGTTGCATTTCTTTTTGAAACTTCAATATTTCTATTAATTTCATTTGTCATTTCTTCTAAACAAACTATATTACGGCCTAAAATATCAATAAATTTGTTACACTGTTCTAATAATTCTGCAAGAGTATATTTACTCTGTACAATATTTTGACTAAAATCTATACAATTAATTTCTTCAAAAAAATCTTGAATATTTGGATTTGTTTTGATTTGGCCTAATTTATAATTATCATTTTTATTCAAACTTTGAACTATACTTGTAGGAACTTTAACATCTTCATTGGTGTCATCATCTTTGAACTCTTTTTCCAACCAATCAAAGTCATAAGTAGAAATTAATTCAGTAGTTTCTATATTTGCAAATTCTTTTGATGTTCCTGGTATTGAATTACCATACGCATCCATTTTAGTTTATTTATTTTCAATTAAATCTATAAATGAAAAAATAAATATTATCAAATTTTAAAATATATTGTTACTAGTATRAACAATGTTTACAATATGTAGGGGGGCCAGACATCTTTTATATGAAAAGTATTTTAAAAGTCTGTCTCGTTATTCAGGCAAAAGTTTTTGGGATACTCAATTGATTCCGTTTTTTAAAATAGGTTTGTTTCATTCTCATACTTATAAAAAATATGTGAAGAAAATTATAATCGCARTATTAAACTCCTAAGATGCATCAACTTTTACCAGCGGTTAAGTATAATTTCTACCTAACCTTTATTAGGTTACTATAAGGATCATAATATAAATACTAAAAAGATTTTTTTTTTAATCAAAGAATGATATTATTAAAAGAGTGTTTACACTTTGATTTATAAATACATAAATAAAATAATGTTATTTTATTTTATTAAACATTTTTAATTTAGTCACATAAATATGATAAGTAGGGRCTATTAYTYATCTTTACGTTGAATAAATTAAAACACCTTACAACAATAAAAGTAATTATTTTTACAAAAATATTCAGTTTTTAAAGACCARTAAGATAAACWGTTTTTTAACTGATAACATTTTCTAAAAACCAATTTTTAAAATGAATATTTAAAAATGTTTTTAATTTTTAATATTAATACATACCTAATTACCTATATGTGACACTATTTAGAATATTTAAGACTATAAATTTCAAATAATTGTACAACGTCTATTCAAAAAAATAACCGATTCTATTCATACATTATTTTTTAATTTAAGTGGATTGATTCAAATAATAAACACTTAATAATAATGCATCTTGGTAATTAAAATGGTAATCAGTCAAAAATCCATTTTGAAAAAACAAAAAAAAATGAACAAAAAGTCCAAAAATATAATTAAAATATTTCATTACATTTTCATCTTTAATTATATTATATATAGGTATTTCATACTACACAAAACAAATAATTCAATACAAATATGTTTATTTTGACTTAAGTAGTTTAAATTATTAATATTACTGTTATAATGGTCGATATTTGTATTGAATTATTTTAAATTATTATTATTATTATTGTAGGTATCGATGTTTGTATTGAATTATTTGTTTTGTGTAGCATGAAATACCTATATATAATATAATTATAGATGAAAATGTAATAAAATATTTTAAATATTCGAACTTTTTGTCTGACAATAAAATTGAACTTGGACTTTTTGTCCGACATTAAAAAAAAAAATCCTCATTTTTTGTTCATTTTTTATTCAAAATGGACTTTTTGATCCCCAGACTTTTCATCCGGGATTTAATTAAAATAATACCAATATCTAATGGGCAATGTCTAATAATTAATATAATCTATCTATATTCCCAAAATCCTGATTCACATATGTAGTGTTGTGATAAAACCTTTATCATTAGTTATTCTATAAAGAAGCAGAGAACAATATGTTTTTTAAATTCAAATACTTAAAATACATAGTGCTTACCTTACTGTGTTTGTGTTAAGTAGAACCACAAAATAATATAATAAACGATTTCAGTTTTTTGAAGATGATATATCATTTAAACACTTATTTTATAAAAATACAGATAAACACGAAAAATAATAACGTAAATAAACGTCCCGTTGAACAATGATTACAAGTTATAGCCAAAGATACCAAATGTACAGTTGAAAAGCGCCATCTACTAGTGATTGTGTAAACATCATACCACAGGATAGGTTTTTAATTATTTAATTTTATTTATTTWTTTATTTTCTGATCATACTAAAAAACAATTAAACGTAAAAACACTAAAAACACTAAAAACGATAAAACGTGAATCATGAACTACATAGCACATAGTTATTCGTAATGTAATAATTAAGTATAGAATACTATATCTGCGGAAACGACTAATTTATCACTGTTGTCTTTTACCCACGATTAGTGTTTTAATTACCAGTTCCTAAAAATCACGATGTTACCCGACGATATAGGTCCCTCCCCATTTTTATAATTTTATTATTATATCATACAAATCAAACTATCTATAAATAAGTAGTGTAAAGTCACTAAAGTTTCTAATCGTATATTTTAACGTTTATAGGTATGTATATTCTARAAGCAGTACCCTGCAGTATCTTACGGTGCCCTTCCATCTAAAAAACCTCCTATGACATATCATGTCATAATACATAAAAATTAAAATATCATATTAGTGCGCTGAYATATTATTTATAAGCGAAAATTCGCTACTGCTTAAATTTAAAAGATAATACATTCATTTTTTAATTTAAATTTTTTACTGAAAATATAAATACAAACTTTTTTTATTAAATGTATTCAAAAAAAGACTTAAACGCATATTTAATTGTCTGCAGTTTAAATAATATTGTTTGATCATTATTTTGTGTTCTATATAAATGTATACCTAATATTAATATTGTTTAATGTTTGATGCTTATTTAAGAAGGCTATATTGATGAAAAAAAGCGTCAACGATTATGTATTAGTAGTTATGCAATTAACATAATATGCAAATGTATTTACATACTTAGCAGTTGATGTTGGACAAATTAAGAGCCAATTAATTTTCCGCGTATACTTAAAGGATCCATTCAGTTCATCATCATCAATACCAATAATAATAAATATATTATTAATATTATAATAATATGGATCACACTAGAATATAGTTTATATTAAATAAGTACTGCACAGTACACAATATTATATACGTAGACCATTTGATCGTTTGATGTATATTGTACAACGTACCTATATAGACACCTAATTAATGTGATTCATGATTTTATGACTTGTTTAGTTGTGTCTAATTTGTATTCTATGACTTGTGTACCCAAATCACGATTTAAGATATATATATATATAAGTATATCTTAAATCGTGACCCAAATACGAGGTAAATACTAGGTACCTAAGACAAAAATTTAAAAAAATTAAAAGTTTAGTAACCACATTGATTACAAATTACAATGTTTAAATAACATAACCGCGTTCCAGAAAGTTTATTGTTTGTTGTTATCAGTGATTACTTATCAATATACATTTTTCGTCTTGTTTTTGATAAAATGATTGAAAGCTTAATAGTTGAAATTGTTAATTATTTTGTTTATTATTGTTAACGCTAATAATTTCAGTTTGAATTCTTGCTTTGTTATTTTTCATTGTAATAKTTTTATTTTCTCCTCTTGAAAGATGAGTGTTATCGAAAGCGTTGATAAAGGAAAAGGGTCACGAATGCAACTGAACAAATCACTGAGCAATACTGCTCAGTGGGTCAAATTAAACGTGGGAGGCACTTACTTTATGACTACAAAGACTACATTATGCCGAGATCCCAATTCATTCTTGTGCAGACTGTGTTCAGAGGAATCCGATCTCATTTCCGACATGGTCAGTACTCAGTTGGCAACAAACTAATAAATAATTATTATAATTTATGCTATGTTGTGTGTTGATCTTCAAAATTCCCCCAATGCGGCAATGCCCCATGTTAATCTTAATATTGAGATACTGCATCTAATGAAAAAAGTCAATCATATTGTGAAATTGTAATTATCTTTATTCTTTTCACTTGATATGTACAACTCTAATGGATTATATGTCAATGAAATCATGTTTTTCCATTATATATGCCTGTTTATTACGCTCAACTATTGTCAATTTCACTCATTAAAATAAATTGTAACTGTTTACACTCTATAAAGCCATCTGCTCCATTGATCTATCAATCAGTTATCTACTAGGYATTCAGAGATTAGTAAAAGTTTAAAGCATGGTGTCAAACCTTTGTTTTCATCATGCTTACAAACTAATATTAATTTGATTGCTACATTATCTATCATTATGCAAAATAATTTGTTACAGATATACTTATAAAGTGATGTAGGATAATATTCCCATTCAATGTTTAATGAAAAATAAAATAATATGACATTATTGTAATGCACCCATAAAAGTCTAAATGAATCTTCCTTAAATAACAAACAAGCTGTACTTATAATCAGACTTGGCCCAGAAAAAATTTAAAATGTGGCATTATATTAGTGTATCAGTTTTATTAGACTCTGTTTAGATATTATAGCTTATGTACCATGGTATATTTTAAAAATGGTTTAAAATACTCTCAAAGCGTAGTAGAATAATCTTTAAAATATTTTTAAATTTACAAATAAACTCTTATCTGTAGTAAGATGTTTGAAGCCATAAACTCAAAAATATTATGCATGCTTTATTGCTTTTACTTCATCTAACAATTAACCAATGACAACCATTTATATGCAATAACAAAAATGTTTGATTTCCATCATGAAATCTAAATTCTTGTGTAAGCACCTCAGATTTTGGAAATAGTGTACAAACTAGTCGATGTTTAGTAGAATTTGTCATTCATAATAAAAATGAATTATCTCGATATCAATTAATGATATGCATTATATTAAACACACTTTTACACTTTATGTACAAAATAAAATATTTATTGGCAAAGAAAAACACACCATTTTCTGTTGAATAAATAATAAAATAAGAATATTATTATACCCTTAATTTATAAATATACTGTATTTAATAATATAAACAATTTACTTACCTAAATAAATAAACAGTGGTCAATCACCAGATAGTTAAAAAAATTTAATGTAGTTCACTTGTTGAAAAAGGTTGGMGATCTCTGGAAACCTCTAAGTCGAATAGTCAGTAAAGTTATTCAGCCATTCAGGGTATATTTGTTTACATAGATTATTAACTTCTCCCCTCACTCAAATCAAGATTCTGGTTATGCCACTGTTTATAACATTATATTATTAATAATTTAAACTAGTTAAATTTAAATTATCAATTATCAATTAACTAGARACAATTTAATTTATAAAATTTTTAATTTTTATAGCTTAGGATTGAACAACTGAAACAAAATTCCCATAAATAGTTCATATTGTAACCAAAAAATCTAAAAAATATATTTGAGCAGTTTTTTTGTTCATAGGTATTTCAAGGTTATTTAAAATATTATTCATATTTGAAATGTTTAAGTTAATTATGTTTGCTTTGATTTTAGGATGAAACTGGTGCATACATGATTGATCGTGATCCGACATATTTTAGTCCCATTTTAAATTACCTCCGTCATGGAAAATTGGTTTTGAATAAAAATCTCGCAGAAGAAGGTAATTTTGTGTTTATTTAAAATCCTATATAATTCAATGCAATAAGTAATAACTAAAAAAAATAATACTAGACAATTCTTTTGATATACATATCTTAATAATATGAACTTTTATATGCAGATATTTAGTTTTGGTTCTAGCCATAATATTTTTATTATTTATTTATATTATAATATATCAGAAGTCTGCATTAGGCAAATTTACTGTATGCTTAATATTTAACTTTATATTTCTAGGCGTGTTGGAAGAAGCCGAATTCTATAATATTACCGAATTAATAAATATAGTAAAAGAAAGGATATTACAAAGAGATAAGAAACTTTGTTCTGAACAAGTGAAAAAACATACTTACAGAGTGTTACAATGTCATGAAGATGAACTTACGTGGATGATATCAACTATGTCAGACGAATGGAAATTTGAACAAGTAATGCATTTACAAATTTAATACTACCCATCTGGCACAAATAACAACTTTCAGTTATGATATAAAATTTCTTTACTAAATTACGAATTATACTCACAGCGGTGTTGCCCCTGAACTAAGATATAATTATATCATAATACATGCTTATAAAATATTATAACTGTTTGATATTTTGTAGATAAGTACATAATATAATTTAAATTTAAATAAATTCTATTTAGAAAAATAAAGAATAGCCAATTTGTAAATTTAATTTTTAGCAAATGTTTGATAAAAAAAAACCTTTATTTAAATTAAGTAGCTTATTTTTAAAATGTCAAAGATTTTTTTGGAATAAGTTAAGACAGAATAATTTTTTTTTTAAATGTTTTGACAAATTATGTTAATCAGAAATTATTATTTATCAATATAATTTTCATATGATTAACTTGTATCAACTATTAACTTTGATTTGTTAGGTCTTTCTGTTAAACGCTGCGTTATGGTATTTTTTCCCTGCAGCGTTAGATTTACTAGACAGTAGACACCATTTATTTTTTGAACCGATGTTGACGTTAAACACAGAGTTTAGGTGCAGGGAAAATGTTTTGTGAATTGACACAGTTTAAAGTAGCTGTTAAAAACTGATATTGATTACACACACATTTACTTGTAGCTAGGTACCACATTTTATACAGTTTTGAATGTGGTTTGTTAGTTGAAAATTAATGTATACATATAGTAGATCATAAAATAATAAGTAGAAGTTAATAACAATAACCCTAAATCTCCCAATATTAGGCACGACACTTTTCACTCATTTGAATAATCAAGATGATCAGCGATCATTGGTATAATCTATCTTCCTTCCAACTTTCTGAAAGATAATTATAATATTGATACTTCAGCTATTATATCCCTTGTCACTAATCATTCATATAGATGTGCCACTTGCAAGTGTCATCTCTG